ATTGCAGGTCTTTCTTTAGGTCTGAAATGGTATCTAAATTATTAATTAGACATTAATTAACTTATCCAGACCATAATCAACTCTCGATGCCATCGCTAGCCCGCGATATTTACTTGATTTGGATACATTTTGTGATGGAGGATTTAACGTTAAAATGGATAATCGAGACTTTGGTTTTTTTTATCGTATCGACTTTAGTAATGATGATCGAAACTATACCTAACATTCAATCGCTAATACCTCGGTTGGTTTTTTTTTTATCGTACCGACTTAAATAATGATGATCGAGACTAGACCTAAAATTCAATCGCTAATATCTCGGTTCATAGTTGAGCAATATGACTGAAATTTTCAGCATATTCTCTTTACGTTATCTATTTTTTAACTGCCAGTTCTTGATCTAACTTCTCATAATTCCCCTAAATGTAATCTTGGTAGTTAAGATATGAGGTGGCCCAGAAAAAAAACGGAGTACACTATTTAAAGTGGAATAATACAAAATGCAATTGTACCGATAGCATTTATATTTCACATGTTTGACAACTTCACTCCAAATTTCAGGTCCACCGCTCACATATTGTAAAGATAATATCTACAGCATTATAGGTAAATCAGACGATGAATTGTGGTTTGTATCCACTTACACACCACTACCTTCTGATCCGTGGGGGTGGGGTGGATGGCCGAATGGTTAGCACGTGCGTGGTGTGGTTTCGAATCCCCGGTTGTACGTGACAAGGAGTAAGGTCGCCTGTCCAACCTCGTGGGTTTTCTCCAGGTCCTTCGGTTTCCTTCCACTGCTAAAGACCCCTACGCGCAAGCGAATTATTGAAATAAAATTATAAACCATATATTAGTCCCGACATGACCTAGTTTGTGTCGAGTGGACTTTAAATCCCATCTCTCTCTCTCTCCCATAAGTTTTAATTGGCATAGAAAAACGAATAGCCCCCCCCCCCCGCCCCCTTTTCGAATAGCTTTTAAAAATTATGAATTTGAATATTTGTATTAGCACGGCAACTTATCCATACCCACTTAAAGTAACCAAGTCTTTAACCCAGTATCATCTGCAAACACGACTCATTGATCAATTTAAATCAACATTGATGTTGTTATCTTACCGTAAAAAGATGGGCTTCTGGTGTTCAATACTTAAGACACAATGAAAATTTTAAACTGGGCACACGATTTGGGAAGATTACTGGAGTAGACTGGAATAACAAGACGCCAGAGACTGTCATTCAATTTTTAATCTTCGCGTAGTTAGCCGGACATTAGAAATTACAGTAAAAACAGAAACGATTGAATGTAAACCAGTTTATATACATTCATTTCTAGGTGCCAAAGAATAGAGATTTAGCTCCTTTAAAGCTAACACGGGCATCAATTTAACACTGAGATAACCATACTATTTGTCTCGAGGTTGTTTGTTAGTCATGGATATTACAGATACTTTCAAGAGCACATCAGTCATGACACGATTTCAATCAAAAACAGATCGATATCAATCATAGACAGTCTATAGAATTCGTGATTCTCATCACAATAGTAGTCTTATTGTGGCCCAGTATCTAAGGCGCTGGCTCCGGATACTGTCAGTGATGCAGGCGAGGCGGCTAGACAAGAACGAAAAACCAAGGTCCAACGTATATGTTGGTGTGCACGTTAAAAAAATCTTTGACAGGATCCGGTAGGTGCAGAAAAGTAAGACGTTAAACTTCATTTCATTCATTCATTATTGTGGATTTCATATGTGAATTGCGTTCATCGGGATTTTCCGACGTGCCCACACCCACACCCCTCTTGTAAATGGTGTAGGACGCAGAGCCTGGAAAGGGACAATGTATAGTCATTCGGATGCGACAAAAAACTGAGGTCCCGTGTACAGATTGACGTGCACGTAAAAGAACCATGGACAGTTGGAATTCGAAATAAGAGTAGGCCATACCGCCGCTGTCCAGGCAAAATTCCCCTCATATCACATAACATGGCGTATGCCCGTCTTCATTTGTCCAGTAGGAGTAGGACGTTAAACCCAATTTATTGATTTCAACAGACGTATAGATTCTCTTAACTCTTACTTACAAATAAAACTCATTAGAATCCTAATCATGGATCGCTCAAGGGACCAATTCTACAAATTACAACTAGAAGACATGTTAGTATTTATTAACTAGAGGATTCATGTTTACGTGAGGTGGTGGTGTACTTCCATTAGTCCAGATTGTCATGAAAATTAACGTCTACTTTCAAATAATGCATATAGAGTGTGTAAATTTTGCATACTGAACACGCAAGCAAATATTTCCCATGATAATTTACTGGAAGTTAGGAAAATTGGATGGCTTGGCAATAACTGGCGTGCTTGATTTAATGTGTTTCTAAATTCTCATTAGTTTTCATATCTGAAACTCTGAAAATCTGAGAATTTGAAATCTTAATGTAAAACAGTAAGTATATATTTTCATATATAAAAGCCTGTGAATTTGAATTCTTTACAATGCAATACCACGCCAAATATGCATATTCTAAATAGTCATTAGTTTTCACATCGGAAACCCTGAAAATCTGAGATTTTGAAATCTTAATGTAAAACAGCAAGTATCTATTTTCATATATAAAATCCCATGAATTTGAAGTGCGTGTATCCTTTAAATTTTCGTTAGTTTCATATTTGAAATCATGAAAATCTGAGAATTGTAACTCTTTACTAATGCAAAGTGACATCAACTGTTCTAGGATCAGTAAGCATACCCTGCGTGTATATATGTGGTGGTTTGATAGTTGATTCGTTCTATTCTGGATACCATATTGTTTTCTGGAGGACGTCTCCGACCAAAGAGATTCATAACTTCACCTTCATACTCTAAGATACTAAGCAGTGTTTGCGCACGAGAATCACTATGGTTGAGTGTTGTTTTTATATTTCCAATCTGGTTAAAACACAGATCCTATTTCGTTTCGTTTTTATAGTACATAATTTCGTTTTACTTGTCTTTACTACGTAGGCCATCGAAAGTATGAAAAAACGAAACGAAATATAGATCTGTATTTTAATCAGATTGTTATATTTCAAACTCGTATTTGTTTAACTTAATGTAATTAGAGTTTACCGTCTCCGCTCACTAGGTCATTTTGAGACTAACATACAATCATTTTTATTTATATTGCGAGGGAGGTGAACTTTGCGGCTTCGACTTTCAATAGTGAAGAGTTATTTTACTGGCAAACCAATGTGAATACAAGTGGGATTCAGAGATAGAGAGAGAGAGAGAGAGTGTGTGTGTGTGTGTGAGAGAGAGAGAGAGAGAGAGAGAGAGGTGGTTTAACATCCAGTCAACACAAACTAGGTCATTTCGGGACTAACATATGGTTCAATTGTATTTCAATAATTCGCTTGCGCATAGGGGTCTTTAGCAGTGGGAGGAAACCGGAGGATCCGGAGAAAACCTACGAGGTTGGACAGGCGACTCTACTCCTTATCACGTACAACCTGGGAATCGAAACCACGCCAGTTGACTCAATGACAGACCTTATGATACAACAAATCACGCGCTAACCATTCGGCCATCCAATCCCCCTAGGTGAGCTTCAGAATGTTCTTCTCCACCAGAGTCGGGATTCCATCCGCCAGGCATACTCTACTGGTAAGTCAAGTTCCCTTACCGTACTCGACTACACCTACCCTGTAATCTTGAAGGCAATTTACTACTCATGGAAACTCCTCTACATACTTTTGCAGACAAACACTACAACGTCGATACAGAATGAGGTATGGGATAGGGGCCTAAGAATATTTTTGGAAATCAATGGTCCGAAGAAAACGAACAATCATTCATCGTCATGTCTCATTGTCATGCTAAGTCTCTAACTCAATATTTTCCATAATATTCGAAATTGAAAACACGAATTAGAATTCAATATTGATCAATTTCAATCAGTATTGATGTTTTTATCTTGCCGTGAAACTATAAGATCCTAATATCCAATATTTAAGACACAATTAGCATTTTATAATCAGTACACGAGTCGTGTACCCTATGTTTCCAGTGCCATTTTGTAATGAACAAATAAAAACATATCCTACATCATGTGGAAGTAATTAGTAGAGACTGATTTACAAACGACAAAATAATAAGTTAAAAAACGTGTAGAATGGACTACTCAGGGGTAAACGACTACCATTCATTTTGAACTGTTTACGTATTTCACCGAACATAATTGATTAGAAATTACAATATTTTTTTTTCAAAAATTAAATATAAATCACTTTACATACATTTATATTACATTATTATGGGCTTTTAGAACCATTTTTGTCTATTTCAAGATTCCAAAAATAGAGCCATACGCCCTTTAAATATCTTTTTACGTTTAAATTTGTGTACCCTGAACCCAACTCTTGTTACTTTATGTCCCATCATTGTGACTTGGTAACATCCTCCTTAAAGGACATGTATCTATTCTCCCAATAATGCCAAGAGCCCGCGACTCAGGGGTAAAGGTAACTGCATATATTTTCCGCTCAGTATAACGATGTTCCTAAAGCCACCGCGTCTCTAATTAATCTCTTTATACTGTTAAGTTAATCTAATATACGTTTCTATGGCTGATCTGATAAATACATCTCCCATTTTCTCTTGGGAGTTTTAATGACGTTTTGCATTAATCATGAATCATATAAAATAACAGTAAGCTATTTACGTTCTACGATTAATTAATGATTAATCAATGATTGCATTTAATTCATAAACGTTATGACGTTATTACTTTGCCCACACAATTAATCTGAGCCGAAAGCACCGACTCGTTGACCATTAACTTGTATGTCTGATGGACCTGTTATTGCGGTTATTATAGTACAGCCCGGCTCATAATGACTGACAATAGTGGGTCATTTGTCAAGGACATTGTCCATACATCACCCCCTTCTCTGCTATAAAAAATGTATGAGGAAACCGAATAAATATAAAACATTGTTTACACAACACTGCCATTACCTTATCTCTCTGATTTAATCCACAATTATGTCCAATTCATGTTGCTGCGTCTTATACATAGAAAAAAAATATCCTCTCTTTTCAGCTGCCAGAAACTATGCTGTTGATCGAACTCTGCCCACGATCATACCGAGAGCAGAGAGAAAAATCGATATCTAAACCTGTCATTGGCAGCAAGGATATCGGTTGAATCGCGTGCTGGCTGAAGACAATGCCAACTCCTGGCGGTTTCTAGTATTTCTGTCAAAAGCATACGTATCATATTATTTTTGAAAAGAGCTTTGAGTAATGTGAAATTAGGTAATACATTGTGAGATAAACAAAAACGACGGGTGTTCTCTTAACAAATCTCTGCTGTATTCAAATCACAACAACGAGCAGGTTTTATATATAAGCTGACAAAGCTTGTTATCGTATCTTATACCATCATACTAACTCTGTACAAGTTATCGAATAAAATATTGTTTAAACTAAATTAACAGTGCTTGTATTAATTGTTTAAAATGATCTCTTAAATGCACAGCATCTCGGTTTTTCATACTAGACGCTTTCCGCCCTACGCCACTGAAAGTGTGGGGGGGGGGGGGGGGGCAAGCTGGAAAATCCCAAGGAATTTCCTGTTAATCGTTATGACAATTTTTACAAAATTAAACGACATCAAGCATTTAAGACGGCCTACTTCGGGTTTTAACACCATCCGAACGACCAGACGCTTTCCATTGGTTGGCTCTCAGGCCTGTACCACTGACCAGAAGAAGCCAGGCTAAATAATTCCGAGCAAGTTCCGATCATAAATATGTCAATGTATACAATTTAAAACAACACAGGGACGGTGGAAGCAACTTTTGATTGAGGGGTGGGGATTCATGGCGGTCTAGATCGTCGTATAATAAAATTACTCAGCAAGGAAGTGAAGCAGGTAGGCCTACTTTAGCATATTTACAGTTTAATGTTTCTGACGTCTGCGACATAAAGCTTTTTAAGAAGTCCACCACATGGAATTCAGAAGCCAAAGGCGCTGAGTTGCGCGAAAAATGCCGAAATATAGCATCCGTGTTTGTCGGACCCACATTGTTAACAATAAAAGTTATAAATATCTGATAACCCATCAAAAATTCGCCCCAGACGGTCAGCGTCTTCCTTAACACTTACAATATATTCATCTGAGAACAGATGAGAAAACATTATCTGAAGCAAAGAGTCTGCTACGAACTTGTTATTCTCCAAAGTCGAGTTAAAATTGGCGAGTATATATCCTGGCTGGAGATATTAGTAACGTCTATAATTACGTTCTAGATCTACTATATACAATATAAAAAGTCTGATTTAATGTTAATGACTTCAACATAGACCAGAACATTGCCTATTTTCCTCATGTGAGAATCATTTCCGATCTCATCTATTTGTTGATCAGAAGTATTACATATTAAGTACATTAATTTAAGTTTCGTATATTGCAGGATTGCAAGATGCTACATGCAATTGCAATTACACAATTCTAATGTCTGGCTTGATCACAAGAATAGCTAACAGGGACAATAACAAAGCAACTCGAATCACAAAATCTCAAACATTTAGAGGTGTACATTTTACTATTGTAATAATGCATCCTTGTAAAATTAACACACGTGCTGTCCGGGTTGTTCAGAATCATTTGAAGTAAGGGCAATAACTCCGCATTATTCAGCAGAACGAACATCTTGGAAGTCTACAAAAGTAACCCTCCCTGTTTATTCTTAAGAAATTGTGGACGGACATACGGACGTCACGACAATAGTTGACCACCTTTAGACATGGGTGTATTTAATCATCACTGAGAGAGAGAGAGAGGGGGGGGGTGGGATTGCATGTAAGGGTCTTTAGCAGTGGTAGAAAACTGGGGGACCCGGAGAAAACCCACGAGATTGGACAGGCGACCCTACCCCTTCTTAGGTACAAACGGGGAGTCGAAACCAAGCACCTGACTTAATGACAGACCTTGCTATCTAACGCGCATGCGTTAAACCATTCGGTCACCCAGCCCTTCTATGAATTTAGAATTTATATATTGAATTTTATGTATAGCTTTATTTACAAGCAAGTGGTACATTTAATGACAGATTATTAATAATCATATTCATAGGTTTATTTATACATATATATTATGATTCATTCACGAGAATTAAAATAAATTAAGATTCAATGAGTTATATGTTACACGTATGAGTTCGGCTAAACAAATATTAATAATACATTAAACAAATTACATAGAAATGGTGAGATTTTGTTCTTTGGTTTTTTCATTAATGACTACAAGTCTTATCAAATATTGTAGAGTAATAATGCTTCAATTTTATTATAGCCCATGATATTGGCATTAATTACAGGTCTAATGTCTTATTGAAGATCAATACAACTGGTTTTGAACTTTATCTATTCGATATCGCATTTTTGTTTTAATTAGCAATGTTTAATTCCACATTACAGTGCTTATAAAAGTATAAAAATACATATATAAAAGATCATTATAGCCTAGATCACCAAAACGTGTATTGTAATCAAGTCCAGGTGACCTATAATAAGAAAAATACAAAGAAGCTATTAAATGGTTATGGATGAATAATGGGATCTTTAAGAATGAAAGAATGATAGGAACTTTCAAATATAAAAAAAATTAATTGCATTAATCTCTCCAGGTGAACCATTCAGGAGAATTATCAGCAAAGTTCCCAAATTTATCTTCTCCGCTAATCAGAACTGTCGATTCGAATTTCCGTGGTCTTTCTGGGTCGTCTATTGGATGAGCTTTTGTTAAAACATACCGAATGACGAAACCACATCGTCTGCGGGATGAACGATTGGGTTCACTTCCGTGAACAAGATGACCATGATGTAAAGACATTTGACCAGCTTTTAATGGACAGGGAACAGATTTAGTCGCATCGAACAGATTAGAAGGGATTTCTTGGTTTGAAGTCAACATATTTCCTTTTTGAGACGCGGCTTTATGCTCTAGTATACCATCTTTGTGTGTACCTGTGGTGAAATAAGCATATTTAATAATATTTAAGTATTTTAATTTTAAATTAATTAAAGTCACAAATGTTAAATTGTTTGGTTCATAATCGCATTTGTATTCAACAAATATGTAGATAAAAACACCAGATAGGAAGTAATAAATCTAATCTTAAAAGCTATGTATATAAAAATGGCGATTGGCCTGTCGGAAGTTCGTGAGATTGTTTTTGTTTTAATTAAATTCAATGGCAACTCAGACGATCTTTATTGATAAAAAAAACTGTACTTAAAATCACAATAGAAACTCTTTTCCATAGTTACACGATGAGACAGACTCTTCACATATTATATTGAAGTATTTGACAAAAATAAATCGCGTGATTGATGAGATGGTAATTCCATAGCCCGGGAGTTTTTTCCTACAGCTTTCACGGATAAAAGAAACCTCAAAGTTTCTAGATATATGTGTCTAGAGATATAAAATGAAATTGGATTTAACGTCTACTTTTCTGCACTTACTGGCGCGGGCTAATGAAGACGGGCATATGCCATATATGTATGCATACCGTGTGCTATGAGGGAAATGTTGCCAATTATTTCGAATTCCAACCGCCAAGGATTATTTTACGTGCAAGCCAATGTGTACATGGGACCGCGATTTTTGTCCCATTCGAACGACTGGACAACTTCATTGCCAAGGTCTCCGTCCGTCTAGATATAAAAGATTATCGTGAAATTTGAACTTACTGGGAACAACAACCATACAACCGTTGTCTACATCAGCATCATCCACAGCTAACCAAACACTGATCACATCTCCTTCTATACCCCAATATCTACAATAAAAGTACGTTACAGAGAGGGAGGGGCATCGTATATAATTTAATCGACATACAAGTGATCCCATCGAAAGGAAACAAGTTCTTGATAGTAAGAACTTTGGTATCACTTGTATTTGGGCAATGTCTTTGCTGATGTACATTTATATTTACCGACTGCTTCCTCAGTGTGTATGTTGCTGATTCACTATCCAGGAAAGGACGGATTCGCTCCTGGTGTTGGGCGACAAGTTCCTGGGGACATTCCAGCCTGGTTTCCCCTTACTGATAATCTCGTTGCATATTCTGGGATTTCGAATTATGCACGATTCTGCGATCAAGTAAACTTTTCAGAATTTTACTTTCCGGAATTAAGTGCATTATGGTACACCGGTGTTGTGGGCGATGTCTCCATTATTCCCATTGCTTGAGAATTCACAAACATCTCTAACTTTATATGAGATGATACAGAAGGCGAAATGAAATGAAATGGGGTTTAACGTCCTACTGTTCTGCTCCTATGCTGGTCTAATGAAGACGGGCATACGCCATACAGTGTGCTATGAGGGAAATATTGCCCGGGCAGCGGCACTATCGCGTACTCTTATATCGAATTCCAACTGCCAAGGAATCTTTTACGTGCATTCCAATGTATACACGGGACCTCGGTTTTTCGTCTCATCCGAAGGACTAGACAGCTGTCCTTGTCAGGCCCTCCGTCCTGCATCACTGACAAGGGAGAACCACACCGGAGCAGAACAGTAGGACGTTAAATTCCATTTTATTTCATTTCCTTGACAGTTAGAATTCGATATAAGAGTAGGCCGTAGTGCTGCTGTCCGGGCAACATTTCCCTCAATAGCCCAGTTCGGAGCAGAAAAAGTAGGACGTTAAACTCCATTTCATTTCATTTCCAAAGAAATAGGACACACATTTTCAATAGGTGTTCCTCATAAGAACAAAAGTTACGCTTACCTGACGTCCTGATGCCAAGCTACAAATTTTTCATCACTGCCGTCTTCTTGTAATTCCTGGCTAGGATATTTACAGATAAATCGTGAGTCTAACAGAATTAAATCATTGCCAAGAATGGCCTGGAGTGGCGCTAGTACCCCGGGATGGCTGCTCAGCTTCAAGACCCATGGGTATTTCGTGTGAATATTATGTAATGAATATTGAGCGTTCTCTTTTCCTGAAATTATACATTATTCCTTATTTCAATTTTTTGGTAACGGCGCCAACGTTCCCTATATGAACTAGAACACAAATAAAATGGCATTTAACGTTCTTTAATGCTTCACCAATTCAGCATGCTGTGCGGGAAATTTCCACCCACTGTCAAGGGTTCTTTTACGTGCACGTCAACGGTACTAGAATGAAAAGTCCAGAGGAATCTTAACGGCTATCGGGATAGAACCACTGATCTATATAATAACTGGATAGCTCATTGGGTGAGATGTGTGAAGTCACCGGAAGTACCAATTCCGCCATGTTACAACTCTCAAAACATTGGTTCCTACCGTTGACGTAGTTGTATTTACCTCAAGGTAAACTTCGATAATTAATACCGTTAGTTGTTCTTAAAATAATCATAAATTTTCAAAATTAATTACAAGTTATCCTGAATGAAATGTGCGGCAGTTGAGTGAGTTATGAAAATAAAATAAACTAAAACGCGAAAATCACCGTTTACGTGGGCATGCCTTGCTCTTTCTTTTCATTCATAATGATAATGATAATCATAAATATGATTGCATGGATGGTAAATAGAAGACGTAAATCAGTCCTATTATTTTAATGAAACTTTTCACATCATAGAGGAAGGAAGGAGAAATGAATTCACGGGTGAAAAGAAAAGCAAATAAAAACAGATCAACTTTATTTATAGATTAAGCATTTAGGCCAAACATGCAGCTATTTATAGGCCTACCATAAGGCAACAGTCATATTTATGTAGTAAAGAAGACAATGAGTTAAGACTTAGCCTATAATAATATAGTCCTATAATAATATGTATCTAAAGAATAAATTTGGACAGTGAATAAACAGTGAAAATACAGAATTGTAAAGTATGAGAAGAAAATGGGATATAAGCAGGACTATGCAATGAGTAAGGGTCTTTTAAGAAGAAAATAGGATATAGGCCTAAGCTATGGAAGTGGGTTTTTTTTTATCATACAATTACCTAATGTATCTTTAAACTTTTCAAAAAATATAAGAGAAAACAGAATAGCAACACCCCCCCCCCCCCCAAAAAAAAAAAAAAAAAAATTCTTTCATGTTACATGCATGTACATGTATATGTTGATTATATTTCGTTCATTTTTATTTATTTCCCTTTTGTTTGTTTAAACATCAGTGAAAAAGAAGTAATAAAAGAAGCTAGACACATATCATACACATAGACCTATAATTTTTTTTATTATGTGAATAGCCCATATTTTTTTAAATAAAGACTTTAAAATTACAGATTATTCTGTCCAAAATACCAAAGAAATAACTAACTGGACATCAAATCTTAGTTTTTCCCCCTCTAAAATTGACTGTGAAATTACAGAAAAGGAAAGACGAAAATGATATATAATGTAGGCCTATATATTTGTGAAAAAATAAATTTTGACTATTTTTTATGGGATATAGACCCATAAAATATAGTTATATAATGTAATCCTATATTTTATTACAAATCAATTTGTGCTTTTATTCTCTCTGAAATTACCATTGAAAAATAGCATTGTAAGTAATAAAGAAGAAAATGTGATATAGGCCTATAATATAAGGTAGTTATTTGTTTTAAAAATATGATATAGGCCAATACTATAAGTGTTTTTAAAAAAAAAAAAAAAATATGATATAGGCCTATAATATAAGTAATTTTTTTTAAAAGAAAAATGGATATAGGCCTATGCAATGACACGTGTTTATTAATATAAAGACCCCGCAATAAAAATAACTTACACTGAAAAAACCCTTGTGTTGGATCTCAACACAAGAACTTGTGTTAAAAATATTTAACACATGTTTGTGTTGTATTGCATTGCAATGACACAAGTTTGTGTTTTTTTCAATGTCTTAACACAAACTTGTGTACATTTATAAAATCTTATGTGTTTTTTTCCCATATAATTAATTACGTCGACATTAAAGATAACATTTATTATGTTCCTTTATCACTAGCCTATATGTAAAACCACTCTTCCTGAATTTGAATGTCGAGTAATTCACTTGATTTATTTTTTAATATTTCTAATTATCTAAAAGGATATATTAATTATTACAAACATTAAGTAGAAATCGCAATGTATGTATCGTGCGATGCATTTAATATCTCTTTTAAAACAACGTATTTTATAACAGTATACTGATATAAGAGATCAAAGTTTTAGTCAATTATTATCTAAATATAAACTATTTATTTAATTAGATATAATAAAAGATTATTCTGATTCTACTCTTTGTATATTTTCACATCTTGTCTCAGACAATATACAGAGACAGGTTATTACAATGTCTGCATTTGGCAGTGTCTGATTGATATCGCCCCAATAAACTTGACACATCAAAGACAATAACAATTGTGTTATATCTACGTTTTAAAAAAATGTTTGAATGGGCGTGGAAATAGTCGAGTTAATCTTTTTATTTAATTTAATTGGTTCATTAATCGAAATTGGAAATTTATTCTTACCTGTAAATGACCAATTAAAATGAATTACTCTTAAAACAAAGAAAGAAATATTTATTGAAGTAATTTTGCGGTATTAAACCCTGTGGTACTGCAAATGTTAACTGTATTATCAAGCATTAGTATCGAAAAAAGTGATATTGTTGTGAAAAAAGTTTGTTCAGAAATTAAGAATATAAGGTTTGTGATTTTGGTATTTTTTAATACAATGTATTTATAACGCAAATTTTTCGTTTCGGTTAAAACAAAATATACCTCCATTTTAATTGGCCGAAGGATGTGTGACTAATAGAAATATGGCGGGCGGACTAACTGACCAAACAGTATATTTCGAGGTATTTGAGGTAAGCTAATTTAATATTATATCATAACTGCATGTGCATAATTGTGTTTCTGTTTGATTAAATATTCAAAAAATCATTCTTAGGATACAACCTCGACACCAGTCCGCTCTGAATTGCAATGTTTGTTTTGTGTTCTGGGCGCCATTTTGAATATAATACAATCCAGCGTTAGTGTAGTCTAATTCCTTTAAAAGGGAATCCGAATTTGTTAATTTTCTGCAATACCACTTCGGTGGAAGCGGACGTTAAATAAAGCTATTTCACGTACAAAGACCTACAATAAAATCCAGGTGAATTGGGAAAAATATTCATGTATTTTCTTGATGAAGAGTAGCTATTTCAATTTGTAAATGCCCAGTCATCTTAGACAAATAATAATTCCAACTTCAAATCAGTTGTATTTATTCAAATCATACCATAACCATGAAGAATTGTATTTTTCCACTTGCATAATAATAAAAACTTGACTTTTATTATTTTATTTCTTCAGGCCAAGAGCATGGAAAATTGGTAATTGCCTTGTATCACTGCTAACTATAAATCACAGGGAGCCTTGGGCAGAAATGATAATATGGTTCTCAGATATGTTACTGTGTACAGACTGAACAGAAAATATTTATACACTTGCTATTACAGTACTGGCCAAATTAATAGCAATTTTTTCTAAAAACGTTGCAGAAGTAACTCACTAAAATTGAAGTATGAATAAAATCATACACCGTTAATATATTGAACTGAATATTCTTACACATAACCATAGGCGTACGGGGAAATTTTTGACTGGGGGGCGGTGGTGGTTGGTGCCCCAAAAATGTAGTTAGGTTCTTAATATGTTACATAATAATAATAAATTCGCTGTTAAATTGGACACATTCAAGAACACAATATTTTTTTATACAACTTTTACAAAGTACAATTGTGTGCCCAAATTTTCCCAGCATTTGGTTCCCAGCCCCCCCCCCCCAGCTCGTACGCCTATGCACATAACCATATTGACATCTACTTCACATTGCATGGTTGGTCGACGCAACGCCGTGTATAGATAAAGTTGCGACAACTGAGAAGCCAGGAATTTCATATGACGTCATGCAAACTTATTATCTATTTATATGACCTATTATATTGTTGGATGTCATAGATTTCAGCGAATAAGTGTATATAGGACATAAAACATACATTTTTTAAACGAAAAGTATAGCTGAACATACTATTATTAGTATTATACAACAAGAAGCGCACATTATTGTTATATAGCCTTATTCTATAAGAAAAATCAAAATAAAAGATACACTAGATAAAAGTACTATTAAACCAGGGGCGGATCTAGGAATTTTGAAAAGACGGGGCTTGCCGCTGAGGGGGGGGGGGGGGTCCCCAAGAAAATTATCCGTAATTTCCTTGCATCTGTAGTCATTCCAAGAGTTATTTCCCAGACTGGTGTGTTTGAGTCGATGGTTCGAGTCATTTGGGATCCCTACAACGGGTTGGGAACGGACATATTTGAGTCTGAGAAACGGCACTTTCAGCCGTAAAAAAGGGCACTGTTGAAAATTAGGGGGGGGGGGCGCCCCTCGCGCCCCCCATTGAATCCGCCTCTGATTAAACATATTTAACTTGCATTCGCTTTTAAAGGAGCTAAATCGCTAATATTTGGGAACTAGAAATTGTCACAAATGGGTCGCACTAACCTTGATGTTGACAAATACGTAAGACGATATGAACATCAAGGTGATATATGCATATATGCAGCATAGATAATTAAAACTTCTATTCAAGTTAAACCAACTGTATCTATTTATGTCTTACGTCGAGCTGAATACATTTTAGGATTTATTGTCATTAAAACATCTATTGGTGGTTAACAGTGTGTAACTAAAAACTAAAATTGGATCTTATTATTGCCAATGATATAATGTACCTTGAATTTTTTATCACGAAGTCTATCGCATCCAGATATTTAAAGCGCGTTTACAATATATTCATTTTTTTGTATCGTAAAATTCATCTTCATTTGACGAACTACACCCAAACTACAGTCAGTGTAAACACGGTTTGGAGACTGTATCTGAACTACAGGGTACATCGAACTACAGTGTACATCATGCTTAAGAGACACTATCTAATATCCAACAGGAAAAATGACGATTAATTTAATATCCGCCA